CCATAAACCCCTGTTCCCATAGTCCGATCATGCTGGTTCGCGAACTCATTCAAGTTTATCCCTTCGCCTTACACCTTCAAACAAAATTTTATCAAAATCGGACAAAAATTACTCAAGTTATGTGCGGATGGACACACATATATATATCTATATATAGATATATAAAAATTTGAACGAATGGTGTTTTTGGCCTCTGGGGACATCAAAATTAAAAAGTAAATCGGTCCCGGGCTTAGGTCTTACCATGAGACCTACGGTAATAGCTACTTCCCTATAGGGAAATTCGCTAAAATGACAAGATACTTAGAGACAGGAAACTATATTGAGACCTAAAAATGCAGATAAAAGACGCTAAGGACAGATAAGAACGTGTTAGGACTCCCACAATGAGTATCTACTGAAAATGTCTTGGAATGAAGCCAGATATGAATTCTTTTCATGAATAAAATGTATATAACAAAAATGTAGACCAAAACAACCAACTGCTGTGCTAATCCTAATGACGGGATCATCTACAAGGACCATAAAGTAAAAAGTAATATTGACTGTTTAAATGCATAGAGAGTAAGAGTTTTGACATTGAGATTTTTTTACATATTAGAGTGTGTGTAACAATATATAAGTTTGATATAGTTCACATTGAGGTTCCCAATGTGTTCCGAATAAATTGCTTGTCGTTTATTGATCAGATCCAATAAAACTATCATGAGCTCTCGCGTTATGACGACAGGCCGCGGGTGCTCTAGGGGTTAAAAAGGTTTATTAAAAACTTTGAAGTGTGTAAATGAACTGTTGTTATATAAACTTTAATTGTACAAACTAAACACCACTTTAACAGAAATTATACTCTGTATTTTTCCATACATTTTAAACAGACATAACTTATCATGGATGGAACAAAACATTTGACGAGCTTTTTTGAAAAGTGTCTCTATTTAATTTCTTACATCACGACTGTCATTAAACTAGATGGTACTTGAGGGCAGGCCATATGAACTGCAGTGCCTTAAAATCAGCAAGAACCGTGTGGAAAGCAATATTGCAGGAAAACACGGTAAAACAATTAGTACAATAAAAATACAAAGACAAATCTATTTTTACTACATACTAGTCTAGTTCAAGGACATTTCCTGGAAACTCTTATTGGATTCTAGGTTTTAGACTTAAGGAAACCTTGATTATTAGATTATATTAGAGCAACGTGCAACTCTTCAAGTTTAGGATTCCGAGTGTTTTTGCCAAAATGAGGATGCAACAAACCAAAATTAGATATTGAGGCACTTTGTACATGAACAGGAAGTATTTAAGCCCCTCCCCTCTTGCCAGCTGCATTTTGAATCAAGAGTATTTTACTTGGCATGTCCATTGTTCAAACTAAATTCCATTGAACGAGTTTGGAATATCATACTAATGTTATAAATGTGAAAATTTTTGTGTTTGTTTGAAGTTCAATCACTCATTAACTACATTGAACATTCTTGTCATGACGGACATTTTAAGTATATGGTTTATGGGGGTGTGACTTGTAGTTTTCTCAAAAGTTCATGGGTAGGCCTACTTTGGGATTTATATATGGATTTATTGTGTCTCGCACAGTTTAAAAAAATATGTTGCAATTAAAAATCATTCAGCGATTAAATTACAATTGAAAACTTTTTAACACAAAACAATATGTCTAATCTCCGACCAAAAAATCTTACAACATAAAATCTTGTACATAAAAAGTAATGTCGTGACTCTTCGATTTCTCTAAGGTATAGTTCTTTTATATTGACTCTTCTAATACAGGTAAAGAAACTTTTCCACCAGAACAACTCATTCCAGCAGGCTCATCTCAATGCTCTGCACTGTATATATGCTCTGCCCATTCGATATATTTTTAATAATTTGTGTTGTCTATAGTCCAGTGTTGCGCCGTATTCTATTGCATCACTTTTTAAACACACACCAAGTATATCTGTTGAATCCTTTTCGCTAATCTATATACTTATTTAATACGCAAGCAGGTTTTTTGTGACAATTACTCCTCCGAAACTACTGAACCGATTGACATGTTTTTGGTGTCATTGGAAAGAGCGTAACGTGAAGTTGTGCAGGAAACTTTCTTTTTAGGGAAATAATTAGAGGGCGAGGCCCTAAGGCCCTTTAAAGTTTCTTATTTCTCCATAAGATTAGCATGGGAAACAAAAATTGTTATGAAACTCCAGCTGTTGTCAGAAATTAAATATTCATAATTGGTCTCCATGGAAGCATGAGAAAATTCACAATGTTTACATTTGCTCTGACATTTAAATGTAAACAACCAGAACTGTCAAATGCTTATTTCAAAATTTCAGACAGCTGATCCAAAAAAATTAAACAACTATGTGGTAGGTTTATTTAATCTTAAACTTTAATATACTGTAGATTATTTATTATAAATCTATTTCAATGATTATGAAACAGATTTTTCCTGTTGCGAAGCAAAAATTAAAAGTGAGAAGAAGAACATATGTTAATTGTAAACAGTCAATGTGTATATTATATATGTTGCATTAAAAATGTGTATAGTTTTGGATGTTGGTTTGTGTTTAATTATATAAGTTATTAGTTATTGAATTTTTATTTTAAGGATTTGGCATATGAGTAAGCTTATGATAAATAACACCATTTCAGAGTTCTGCCAGTTTTCGCCTAACTCTGTCCTGTAGAGTTTAAAGTAGCCTACACCTTATTGTCATAAAAGCTGACAGCCTTTTTACGTTGACTTAAATTGTAAGCTTACCTTTTCCCGTCCATGGGCATTTTGATTGTAAAAAATTAACCCTTTAAACTGGAATAGGACTTATGTGAATTGTGAGTATTTCCATTAGTTAATAATCTTTTAGTTGACTCTTTTAAATCCGAAATTATGTCAGTTATTAGTTTTTAAACAAGTTATTTGTTTATAAATAACTCCTGTACTTCTTTGCGATTGCTCGATTTCGAGCAACATGTACACTAGTAATTATTAAATTAAAAACATAAACATAACTGTAAACAATCATAATTGACAGTTTTCATTGTGTATGGCTGCTTAGTTCAAATTAGCTTTTGTCATAATATAATGCAAACAAATTAATAGTGCTGCACTCTGTTAGTAAGCCTTATAACTTTTAAATGCTATTGAATATCATAGAACTAACTTGTTTAATTGAAATAACAGCTGACTAAATTCTTTAATTCCTTTAAAATATGAATACTCTTAATGTCAACATGGTAAATTCTAGAGCCAGGGCAAAGCCCGAAAGGATTTTTTGAGATAAGAATAGGCTTATATGTTAATCACTAATCTTAGCTATCACCATACCAAATTTCAGCCCAATTTGTCCAGTAGTTAATGTGTTATTGAACTTCAATCAATCAAACAAACACACAAACTTTCACATTTATAATATTACATAGTAAGATTAAATAGTTTTGTCAGCTGTTTCAATTACACAAGTTGGTTCTATGATATTCAATATCATTAAAAAGGGGTCTGTTTTAGGGGAGGTATGATTGAGGCATTAGTTCAAAATTCCTCCGTGAACAGCGCTGTAGTAGAGAGCATTTTGGCAATGAAGGTTTACTAATTGCAAAAATAGTTCTGTTCATAAAATAAAATTATAAATGCCTCAAATTCAATTTTAAAATTTTTTTATTATAAAATCACTATCATAACCTAACCGAACTAACCACACTTGCTGATAATGAAATAATATAAAAAAGATTATTAATAGAAATAATAATTCTGTTCATCAAATAAAACTAGAAATTGTTCAATTAAAATTTTATAATGACTTAATAATAAAATTAAACTGTCATAACCGAACCAAACCAACCAAAGTTGCTGATAATGAAAAAAGCTTAGTCAAAAAGTTAGTTCCACCAGCGAATTCGAACCCGAGACTCTCAGTTTGTCAACCCGGCACGTTACCCACTAGACCACCGAGGCCGATAGCTGAAAATCGTATTGTTACGCAAATGGTGTTCCCTCTGCTAATGAGAAGCCCACAGCTGTCATCGTAACCTCATCTATACCTCCCCTGAGTAAATACCATTAAAAAGTTATGAGGTTTACCAACAGCACTACTATTTTTTTTGCATTAATGACAACAGCTAATTTGAACCAAGCACCAACAAAAAGCTGTGAAAATTTAACTTTTTTCTATTGTTTAGGTGCAGTGGTAGAACAATGGCTATGGTAGGTGCCCAGGAAATTAAACACTTTTTATAACAATTAAATTGAATGACATCAATTACTGTCCCCAAAACGAGCAGTGCACAATTTCCTTATAACTATTATAAAAAAATAACATGCACTTTCAAAATTATTTAAAAATGCAATAAATAAAATGTTATTGCATAAATAATATTTAATCATTTTAAATTGCAATAAAAAAGTTGTTCACAACAGGGAAGGAAAACGAATATTAGTACAAATATAATTTATTGAGCAAAGCACTAAAAAAAAATACAATATATTAAAATCTTTTAATAAAAATAAATAATTATTTACTAAATGGCATAACTACAATAAAGTACACAATATTTTATTAATACGCTAAACACTAGAAATGGAATGGATTCATTGAGTACACAAGGTAAAAAAATGGAAAGGACGACTTTTCATAAAGTTAATAAAAAACTACAAAGCACCTCACAATTTTATCAAAATGCAGTCTGTAACATCGACTAGAGACTCAGCGTTTTATTCATATTTATGTACAAATTCACAAAGATACTAAAGAAAAAGTTTCAGTTAACATTAGCATATACTTCTTACCTTTAGGTATTAAAAGGCCAAATAGAGCAAATTGTATACAATGGATTTAAAAAATATATTGCTCACATATTATAACATTATTTAAACAAGTATAACAATGATGCCCTGCATTTAATAAGACTGGGCATATGAAATTCAAGCATAAACCTTAGAATGCAATTTGCTACCTTAAAAAAAATAATTTTCTTATTACATATAACTTTTGGAATGAAAGTTTGGAATACAGTAAGTAAAAACTTGTGTAATTGATTCAACAGTTTCAATACCTCGAAATATACATGTGACAACTAATTATAATAATGACTAGTTGAAGATTATAAATGAAAATACCCCCTGCCGCAGAAAAACCTGCAGACTAAGCAAATTTTCATTTACCTGATTTGATTTTAACTTAAATCAATTTAAATAACATTAGGTTTAACAAGTACCTAGGTTTACTGTTAAAGCGTGGATAGTAAAGTGTGTTTTTAGTAAAATATTAATAGCCTAGTATGAAATAAATACATTTTCCAAGTTTAATCTAACCATAAAAAAACTATAACCGTACACTTATTCTACATAAGAATAACATGGGAATTTTAAATTTACAATCTTTTGCTTTGTTTCCGTATCCAATAATCATACAAAAACACTTCAATACACTAAATTACCGGTATGTGTTTTTTTCTAATTTTTAAAAATGGTTTGGAGGGAAATTAGAACATTTTATGCTTAAGGGTAAAAAATGAGAAAATCCGATGTTTACAAAAAAAAAACCCCACAAAATATCGTTCCCATGGTCCAATCATCCTGGTTACCTGTTCAAGTAAATGTGGGTTTACACGTTTGTACCAAATTTCATCAAAATCGGATAATTTTTCCTTGAGTTGGCGTTCTAACGGACGGTGTTTTTGGACTCTAAGGACATCAAAACAAAAAAGTAAATCGGTCCTGGGTCCAGGTTTTACCATGAGACCTATGGTATAGCTTATTCCCTATATGGGAAATTCATTAAAAGTAAACATGTGTGAAATACTTAAATGCTTGTTGATTGTTTATAAATCACTGTGGTACTTATCGTTGGACTATACAGTAAAACCATTGTCTAAGAGTGGTAAAACCATCTTCAAATAAAAAGTGCCCAAATATTCACTTATTCTTCATTTACAGCCTTGACATTATGCAAATATACAACTCCATAAACAACTCACAATCAGATCATTGTCAGAGCTATTGGAAGTTATTATAAAGTGTTTTTAAATGTGTGCAAATTAGTAAACAACAATATTATTCTACACAATAAGAAATACAGTACTTGATATAACCTCAAACCATACAGATTGTGATGTTTTTGTTTGAATATCTAGGAACAAAGTGTAAAAAATACAAATACAGTGTGAGGAATCAATTTTTTTTATAGTGTATGGTATGTACTGTACAGTTATATTTAAAACTATACAGCATCTACAGGGTGTCCTGAACTCTCTACCGACCTTTTAAGATATCATTCCTGCACCAATACTAAAATATCAAGTTGAAAATTTCCTTCAAAAATTTTAATACTTAAATAACATAAAAAATGCTTATGTAAATAAAATTACCGTGTGTGTTTTGTTTAGACATTTTTAACAATACCAGCTTTAAGAAAATTGGTACATAAATAAGGGAGAAAACCTTTTTTTAAGATACTGTGTACAACAACATTCTCGCCCATTGGCTAACCAACAAAACAGCCGATTGTTTTAGCTAACTGGCAGTGATCTTACCCAATGACTGCAGATATTATTTGATACATAGTGTCTTAAAATGAGTTTCCTCCAGTATTTATAAACCTTTTTTCTTAAACAAGGCATTGTTAGCATTGTAATAAAATTGTCTAAAAAAGTTTAAAGAAATCTTTATTCAATTTTAACATTGTGGTGTGTATGTGTAAGTGTAGTGTGCTTGTGGTGTGTGCCATCATACAAACTTTGAAACCAATAACATCAGAGTTCAAAGAAAATTCAAACCAGACTACTGTGTCTAAAGAGTGTTGTACCGTGTTAAAGTTGAGTTTAAATTTTATACTTTAACGGTAAGTTGACCATCCTATATAAGAAATCCGGAACAGTAACCAATGTTTGTACTGGGGAGTATGTTGGTATAGTGGTAGAGCACGGGATTTCGGTCCCCGAGGTCTCGGGCTCAAACCCCACAAATCTCCACTGGATTTTATTTAGGTGATGATGCCAAAACCCTCTAGGCCTAGCCTAATTATGTGGAAAACGGTTCTGGGTTAAATCCTAGCGTCCTAAAACGTAAAGATATAGGCATGATGAAAAACACAAACAAAAATTTTATCTAAAGTAAATGACAGAAGATAATACCTAGCGGAATCTACACACCAAACAGTAACTAACATTATTCAGGCACCGATCAACACCATAGGAACTTCTAGACTGGTGAGCCGTGACAGTTACGAGTACATTTCAACGCCAGGACTGTTGGTGGTCGAGGTGGCAGTACTGTTGACAATGTCCTTATGCCTGATGCGAATGTGCCTCTTGAGGTTGTCGGCCCTGGTGAGTACGATAGGACAGTAAGGACAGTAGTGAGTCTGTGCGTTGTGCAGTCTATAGTGTCTGTGAACGTCCATCACTACTCGTCCACATATTCTACACCTCGCGAGACCCTGCGGCAGACTGTCGAAGATTGCCGTCAACACCTCCGCCTCGGGATATGCGACTATTCGCCCTGCACAGACACAACCAGCTTAACAACCTAACCTGACACTGGCTCTGTGTTCACTCCTTGTACAGAGGGAATTGATTACGCTACGTTAAAGGAAACTAATTTTGAAGACTCTAAGGTATTTTTTTCTAAAAGTCTGAATCTTTAAAGGATAACTTATAAGTCATTTAGCTTTATTTTGTTTTTGAATATTTAATTATCTAAATTTTCTTCTCATAGTTCATTTTAAATCAAATGTATGAATAAAATACAAAAATTCTGACAAGATAAGATTTTTTTTAAAGTTAATAACTCATAAATCTTTAACAACCAAAAATGTTTGAAGGATAATATAGACTATTAAGTAAAATATCAATTAAACATTCTTAAAAAAATGGGTAAAAAGTATTACTAAAAAAGAACTGAAACACAAGAGCTTCTAGGGGTGGACCAAAATGTAACTGCAACAGTTCATGCTAGTGGCAACAGGCTAACGACTACCTACATCAGCACAACCATGCTCAGGCCACTACAACAACTACCAATTTAAATTGAACGGGAAACTACTACAGATGAACATAAGCATATGGTCACTACTAAAACAACAAACACTACTAAAACCAAAACAATAGAGGACAACTATCAGGGAAAAGTTTCTGGAAAACCTGTATTGAGAAATGATAAATTCTGAAAAACTTTTGTCCCTTACATTTCCTTCAACAATAGTAACAAAAGAAGTATTCAGATTTCACATTTATTTCATCAATAGTAACGTAAGAAGTTCTTGGATTTCACGCAGGTTATGTGTAAGAGAGTGACAATTCACCCGTTGACCCTCCAGGGGACGCATGTCGGTGGAAAAGTCCGAAACACACTCATATTGGTAACTGAGGTTCTCCCTGTAGCTACTTCTCAGAGAGGGTTGAGCAACAAAATGGCCATGGTGTTGATGGGTTCGATCCAAACTGTTACAGTAATAAAATATTCCAAGATCGGGTCATTTACACCAAAGTACCCACACACTTTAGGTTTACTCCTTTTCCTAAAATTGCTATCTATGGACATACAATATCAAACTAAATTATTTATAAAGCCGGGTTTTCCTAGACGCGGAAGAGGAGCGCAGAGAGCGGAAAAGCGATTAACATGGCATTCCGCTCCGCTTCAAGAAAATCAGTAACATTAAATTACCTAAGACAAGTGGAGTCCGCTCTCCACGTTCCTCTCTCCGCTCTCCACTTCTGCGCCTAGGAAAACCCGCATTAACGTCATATCAACCTTTACCTGATCAAAAGATTCTTTATATCCATTTTTTAAGGTCAATCTAATGTTGTATTTTTAGATTATAAATAATGTTTTAATAAACAATCTAGATATAATGTGTACTCGCTTTCTTTAATTTTCGTCAATTTTAAGGTGTTTCCTAAGGAAAAGGTTAATTTGGTTGAAAAGACTACTGTACCCACCAGTGTCTTTGATACCAATGCGACCCCTGAAGGGATTAAGTGGCTGGACTGAAGACCAAGCACAAATCATGTTATCCAGTTGTAGTAATAGAGACCAATGATAATAGCACACTCTATAAGCGGCTTATGACTTATGAGAACTTGAAAAATAACACTGGCCACAAGTGTGTCCATGTACTACGCATGTCTACTTCAATCGTTATAGTTATGCAAATGGAAGAGGATTTCCAATCACTTACAAGTTTTTAAATAGTTTGTAGTTCATTGTATTAAAGCCTGAGATTTGGCACATCTAAGATGTAGAACAAGCTCAACATTTGCAGACGTGAAGGACATTTTTGAACATAAATGTTGATCTTGAGTAACCTAAAATTTTTTTTAGTTTTAAATTCAAACAGCCAAAAACTACCAATAATAAGCCTAAAATACAAGTGCAGTTTTCACACCCCTTTGTACTTCTTGTGGACTGTTCCGAAAAGGATCATCAAGTTCAGATTGCACTGATAGGTTATTTATTATTGCCTGCAACACCTGTTATGGTGTGTCAATTTTATAATTAATTGATCTCCTTGTTGAAAATCAACTAAATAACTTCTTGATCAGCATTGTAGGTGTTATTAAATTACCTGAAAGCACAAAAATACGCCAAATAACACTTTGTAATAATATATTTACACTTATACGGTTTACTCAAAGACGGTAAATACATTTAAAAGATGGTAAGTGGTGATCGATTTCGATTGGACACTCCAATCATCATCACACTTAATAGGCGATTTACCGTCTTGTGAGTAAACAGTATAAGTGTAAATGTATTACAAGTGTTATTTGATGGTATTTTTTGTGCTTCCAGGGAAAACAACAACATATGTTTACAGTAATACGTACCTTTGACCATTAATAACTAGACATTCCATCCCCATGTTAAATTTGTAGCCAGATTTTTTATCAAAATTGTCGTAGTTGATGTGAGCCACCTACAGATTACACTGATCCTCAAGTTATTCTGATCTAAATTACTAAATTCTGTAAAATTCACAAACTTTTTTACCAAGTCAAACTTAGGGAATCAATTATGATGAGTTGAATCACTTATGATAAGTTGAATCACTTATGATGAGTTATAGCAACTGTTACAACCCATAAACGTGGTCAGCAACAAAAAATATGGTATAAAGGCGGGGACACACTTGTCATACACCCTTCCGATCCGACTCCGATCATACTGCGGTACGACTGTCGGACAGGGGAATGGTACATAACATTGAACGCGGTTGTTCACACCTCTCCGACACGCGTCATGTCATACTCCGATCCTACTCCGATTTTGGTTCCGATCACGCACCGACACTGCAGTCTATTCGTTTGTCGGATGCAGGACGGGTTGTTTCTAGACTAGTTGCTTGTACAAATTTTTATTTTGATTGTGTTTAAACTTCTATTTTGCTGGTCGAACGTTGACTTTGACATTCGAAAATATTGGTAAAATTTCGTCTCGTCGTCCAACAGATGAGGCATGATCGTGGAAAACTCTCCTTCTGAGGATCTTTCCTTCCATGCAGAATGGACCCAAATTCTCCGTTTCCCACTGTCCTCCAGAGATGTCTGACTTTCCTCTTCATCTAAAAAAACCGCCATCATGGCTAAATCCCGAAGTCCAAAGTTTTTGAACATGTTTCACCTTCTGCACGTAGCTAACAACTGACGAGTTTTGGAAGGACAATCGACCTGGTGCAGGAAATCGGTGATGGATCGGAAGTGTGTATGACATGTGTGTTCACCCCCTCCGATCCCGCACCGATCCTACTTGATTCCCGCAAATCGGATCGGAGTCGGATCGGAAGGGTGTATGACAAGTGTGTCCCCGCCTTAAAATGGAATTTTAGACACTAGCACATTCTGTGACTGGCTCACACAACTACATTCTTTTTTAATAAAAAATTTGCTACAGCTGGTCCATATAGATGGGATGCTACTTCAGTTTCCAATAGTCTTTGATAATACTACTGTACTACTGTTTAAGGCATAACAGATTGCACATGGCAACAAGTCTCAGTGCCAAATTCTCAGGATGTATGTGGGAATAATATCTTCTACCGAGCATTAATTTCAAAACTATGGAAAGATGCACTAATATAGTGTCGTACAGTTAAAATGACCAGCTGGTTAGTCAACAATTGTCAATATTAACCTATGTTTATCTTGCTTTTGTATATGTATGGGTTCAAAAGTAAACTATTTGGTTATTTTAAAAGCTTTTTAAATGGTATAAGATCTCCTTGCTGATGGATGATGGCGCTTTGGTGCCAAAATGTTTGTCAAGCGTATAATATGTAAATTACTTTTAACAGATATGTAGGCCCCTACTTGTTTTTTATATTTATAAATATTGTGTGTGTATGTTCTCATAATACTTTGAATAATGCCCTTAATATTTTGTTAATATTACGTTCTACATATATTGTTGTGTATGTAAACATTATTTTTGTGTTTGTTTCTGTTATAAGGAACAGATGGTTCTCAAACATATGGCCTGAATATTTTATTTACTTCCTCAATAAACCACAACCAACATTCTCTTTTTTCCATCTCCATAGCCATAACAAATTGGTTTTCATAGACTGCCTTAATCAACTTGTTACTCAACTAAACAAGTAATGAGTGAAACTTGTTCAAATATAATCAATAAAGAAATGTAAGCTTCAAATCCACAAAGAGAAGTAATAATACACTGAGTTTTATTTGTACCAATTGACTCTTTATTGAAAATTAAAACAATATTTGTTTTTAAGTTTGACATGATTAGCATTGTTTGTGACGTACCTAGCTATTCAAAAGTCTAAAAAGACTGATTCATATTAAACTAGGTGGCGTTCGCAGATGCATCCACAAAATTGAGCGGAGTCATCAAGGGTTTATATTATATTGTTTTGGTCATACTGTTGTTTTTGTCATGGTTTCAGTAATACCAGTCGTTTTTAATGCATGCGTTGCGAGTCTAAAGTAGCATTTTTACTCTTTAGGAAATAAAAAAAGTTTTTATCCTCTATGGAGTAAAAATAGTTTTTATCCTCTATGGAGTAATAATCAGCTGTTTTCAACTCAGTTGTAAATTTCTAATATAAACGATTGCATCTATCGAAATATGTATCGATTCGTGCTTCGAAATTATTTTAGCCTACAGTCTACGGTCTCTTCCCATAGCGTTTTAGCATTGCAGATACATTAATCCATTCCCACACTCAACACGCTCACCTTTACTACTTCCTTAACCACCCCCTACGTCGTGGACCTATTTCCCTCTCTTCCCATAGCATTTTAGGATTGCAGATACATTAATGTAATTTCCAAAGACAGTTCCCACACTCTGCACTGCAAGCCTTACTGCACTGCAAGCCTTCCTTCACCATTTCCTACGTCATAGACTTGTTTCCTTCCCTTCTCATAGCATTTTTGGATTAAAGATACATCAATCTAACTGCCACAGACGGTTTTCACACTATGCTCATACTTTACTACTTTCTAAGCCTTTTCCTACACCGTGGACTTGTTTTCATC